ATTTCGCCCACTCTGAGTACAGAATGAGGTCAGTGAGGAATCACAAAAAGGCTGTTGTTCTCAGCAGTTTTCAGAATGACGCACAAAGTATAGAGGAAGAATTTCAGTTAAATCAAGAGTCAAAATCCCCCTTTCTCTCCCCCATTCACCCAGCATGACAGCGGTGTCTGGGCAGTAGCATGTGCCAACCTAAGCCCCTGACATTTTCATGGAACCCTACTTTCAGGGCTGCTTTGGAAGACAGCTAGCGGCAACTTCGACAGCAGAATACCATTCAGAAGAAATTTTGAACAGAAACAGCAGCCAATTCGAGCTTACTCGCAAGCGAACCTCCGAAAAGAGACTCAAAAACAGCCTTCCCACCAACAATCATCAATCGATCGCTGTTGCCAAAATGTGTTGCCACTCCAATACTTTCAATTGTTTTTAATTTCTAGTGAGGAAAGCACCGAATTTTACCCGCCAAAAACCAATCAAGTTCGACAAAACAAACTTACAGGAGCAACGGGGTCGAACAACTCGGCAGCAAATTCACGTAACAAATTGATTTCTTGCTGAAATGAAGGATGAATAAGCTGTCAAATGAGAAGTAGCCATATTTTCACAAAATCACAGAGTCACACCAAAACCTACTGGCCCTGAATACAATATATCTAAATGAGACTGACTCGTGCTTCCAATGCAGGAAGCCAGAAATCTTTGCATCAGTTGTTGCAGTGAGCTTGAAAATTTTTGTAAGTTTAATTCTCTTTAGTTGTTCTTTTTTGTAATATCCATTATTAAAGGAGTCGAAGAGCTGAGTGATCAGTTGGATTATCAACAAAAGTGGCAGAGAAAAATGATTTCCCGCTGAGCAGAGGAAGAAAAAAAAATAGGAAAATGACCGCTCGGATATCTAGTCAAAAGGCTGCCAAAATATTTCAGTATTTCACTCTTTTTCACGATCCTTGTATAATTGAATTTTCCGGAGTAAATACCCAAATTATTTGAAAGCACTCCTACTAATTTAATGCTTTGTTCATTTTTTTGCCGAATTATGCTCCTTGATTCTTGAAATCGCATGATCATTTTCTTCCCTGAGCAATAATCTTTGAAAATAAAGAAAAGTTGCCAACTAAAGCACATCGCTTAAAAAACCCATAAAAATTTGATTATACAAACGAAATAAAAAAAAAGCAAAACTGCCTGACTTACTTTAAGATTTTCATATAAATGCACTGATCCAACAAATGGTGGCAGTGAAAAAGTATCAGCACCATAAGATAGCCCCTCATTAACGTCCTTGATAAGAACCTAAGAAATTATCAATTAAATAAACTCTAAAAATACTTGTAACAAAAAGACACAGGCTTTTTTTTGGAACTCATTCAAAATACACAAATTTCTTTTTGCAACGATTTCGACTCCAACAAATACAGAGGTGTCAAAATTCGATTTTAATTGGTACAGAGATTCGGTCGTATTGTTACTGGGTTGCATTAACTCGCAAGGCACAACTATGCCACAAATCCTTCGGTCCCGAGCTTCATCTTTTCAGCCCAAACGCGGGACCTGTTCGACGCATGTGCAAACTACTTCAGTGCTAAGAATAAAGGCAGTCAGTGTGAGTATCTCCATAGGTGGATTCAGGACGGCCTCCCGAAGGGGAGTGAGAAGGGAGGGGCGACGGGGACTGCGGAAGAGAGTTTTCTTCAATCTTAGCTTTAGACCCTGACTTTTGTAGTACTAGTACTTGTGCCGCTAGAAGAGGGGAGCGAGGGCGGGGGAAAGTCCCAACGCCCCCTTGGCCCCTGGATCCGTACATGAATATCCTACATTAGTGATGTTACTGAAATGCTACCGTAACGGCGCAACTATGCCACGCTTTCCAATGATCCTACAGTTAGTAAGCACCGCCCATCGAACGCATTTTCAAAGTCCGCTCGAGTGGTTATCTGACTTCTCACGATGTTCATTGGTTATCGGCACAGACATGCTCCGCCCAACAAATGCTTCGACATCTTGCATTCGCATTCTTACGGTAGTTTATCTAGTCATAAAGAGACACGCCAGAATCTCTGGCTCCAGCGTTCTTTGCTTCACGGCCAAAATACATTCTACAGCTTTGGCTATCCGCACGTTTCGCATCCGTACGTCGGTCGTTGTCTTCCGTGCAACAGCAATGAAGATGTAGGTACAGTTGTTTGGGCTCAACAGCATGAGGGTACCAACGACGGCATGAAATTCGCGCAACTGGTAGCCCTTCTAAGCGCATCTCCGGCATGAGATTTTGGCGCATATTTTTGTTTAAGATAAACGTGGCTGTCAACTTCTTCCAAGTTGTCGCCGCCTATTTGCAATCTTTTGGCAGGGTATACTAGCACTTTGCATCACCTCTGTTTTCGACATGTTCATTTCACATCGGATTTTTTATTTCGTGCATTAAGCTTCCCCAATATCTCATTTATCTCGAAAAAATACTCGCATTTCAACTTTTTAGTTGAAAATAAAATTACTTAACAGAAAACGAATAAAATTCTTTACGTCAGTCCTTAAAGCAAACTACGCCATTTGCATAATCGTGAATTCCTGCTGTATAAAAAGAAAAATTTTTAACTTAGGCTGTGACGCATCAGGCTTGCCGATACGATTATGTATTTTTGCACTAAACTTTAAGCAAGCAGGTTATCAGCTGTATGAATGGTTGTTGCTTTACAGTTATCTTGGGTGCGCATTACCGCAAGTCACCGTAAATTTAGCGTGAGGGTCAGGAAATAAAGCTGCTGGAACATGACGGCATTTGCTTACCGTACGAAGGTATCGTCCCATTTGATCCATTATTTGACTTTTGACGATTCTTCGCTGCTGTTTCCAGCAGTGATCCTCTTCATAGCGCTCAATCAGATCACATAGCCCATTTACAAGATGACGTTTTGCTGCCTGAAAAAAAAATTTTTTTGACGTTATCATCAAAACGGCGTGTTTCAATCTCAAAAATGTACCAGTCTAATTCTTTTCTGAAGGAAATTAACGATTCAAAGACTGTGGTGAAGTAGGACCCTCGAACTGCAACAAGAGTGCAG